TGGCTAGAGAACCAATTCATTATCTGGAAAGCTAGAGCATAAAGGGAAAGAATCAAGCATTCATATTTTCTTTCTTATACAAAACATACCTCAGATAACAAAGCTGATGGGAGAAATTTTGCCATTACAGAAGTGGTCCAACTAATAAATAATGAATGAGAACATTAAAACATCATTGGTTTACAATGAATAACCTTTGAATGAATTAATAAATATAGACAATAATCATCAGTGACTGCTAATATGGCCAAAATAAACAGTAATAACTAAAGATTATGTGCTTCCTTTTGGGAGTAGCCAGAAACACCTATGAAGGATTCTTCTCATGACAACAACAAAGAACAAAAATGTAATGCACTCCACTATTGTCATATATGTAAGAAACTTTTAAAAAAACACCTAAGTTTTATTCAGTTTTAAGATTTGACTACCAGTTTCTAGTACATGTAAGGAGGAACATACTAAGCATCACACAGACATAATTGGAAAACAAAATCTAGTCTGCAAAACACAACAGGACAAGCACACTTCAACAAAGAATTATCAGGAAGAAAGAGAGGGAGAAATAAGAATTTATATAGATTTGAAAAGTCACAAGAGATATTAACCATTTAAATGTGTAGACCTTGTTTGGATCTTTATTCAAACAAACTGTAAAAAATATATACACTAGGGAAATTTAAACACGTAATTACTTAGTTAATGATATTAAGAAATTATCTGCAATTTTAATTTTAATTGTGATGATAGAATTGCACTTGCATTTTTAAGACTTCTTACCATTTTATAAATTAAACTTTTCTGAGATAACTGAAGATTCATATTCAATTGAAAAAAAAATTATACAAAGAGATCCCTTATAACTTTTACCCAGTTTCCCTCAATAATAACAAATTGTATAACTATAGTATCTTACAACAATCAAGATACTGACATTGATTCCATGAATATACAGAATATTTCCATCACCATAGGTTCCACATTTTATCTTTTAAAGCTACAATCACATCCCCTCTCTAGCACCTGGCAACCCCTAATCTGTTCTCTAGTCTATGATTTTATCATTTTGAAAATATAGAAAAGGAATGATACACTATGCAACCTTTTAGGATTACTTTTTTTGCACTCAGCATCATTTTCTGGAGATTCATCCAGGTTGTTAAGTGTATCAATAGATAGTTCCTTTCAAGTGCTTAGTAGAATTCCATGACAAGGGTGTGCTACAGTCTGTTTAAACATCCATTCACTGAAAGACACCTGGGTTGTTTCCATTTGGGGCTATTGTAAATTGAACTGTTATAAGCATTCATGTAAAGCCCTTATCTTACTTAAATATTTATGAATGAACTAAAATTTGATGTCTAGAATTTTCTTTTAAACAAAAATTCCAGACTTGGTAAGACATGAATGTAGTTCAGTGGTAGAGTGGGCTCAGCATGTTTGAGGATCTGGACTCAACCCCCAGCAGCAAAGTCAATAAATAAATAAGACCATCATGAGATTCTTATCTTCTTATCTCTACTTTTGTATGTTTGAGTTTTTCCAAAATAAAGTTTTTAAAAAGAAGAAGAAATTACTTATTTTCAGTAATGGTTACTGTAACAGTCACTCTCTAAAGAAAAATCCAATCTAGGCATCTGTTAGCTTTCTTGTGAAAGTTCTTTATTGGACTACAGGGCTGAGATAATAGGTAGTCCGTAAGGTTGGACAAAGGCAGGTGAGTAATCATCATAATCAAATGTATGAGATTCATGAGTGGCTTGTCTTCAAAAGAGAGGGTTCACGTCTGACATGAGCAGGCCTATATCATCAAGACCAATGCTGAGAAAACAGAAGTGTGATTACTAAAGATGAAGAGCAACAAACCATATGAGCACAGTCAGACCTGAAAATGAAGTAAAATGCATTTTGTATTATGCAAAGGCTGCTTTTGTTTTTAAGCCACTCTAGAGGACAGGATATCGTTATCATGTTCAGTCTGCAAGTTAATGATTCTTTAGCATATTTCTGCAAAACGATGGCTACTATTCGATGCCACCAATATTCTATCAGCTTATTTCCCCCTATGGCTGCATTATACCCTCCATTTCAGTCCCACTGAGGACACCTTGTTTTTCTCCACATGAGGTCTTACACAAATGAAGTCCCACTATTCCAAAGAACTCAGGCAAATAAAAAGACATAATACCATCCCAATAACCAACTGAGATTAAAAACCAAGACCTTCAAAGGAAATATATATGACAACTTTCAAATGCCAAATACTGCAATAGCTACCAATGAGTTTCCCTTGATTGGTCTTTAAAGCATGGACATGTATTATGTTGAGCAACTCTAGAGCTTAAATAAAGTTTTTTTTTTTTTTAATTACAAGTGGCATACATATCCACAGATCAAACTCCAATGAGACAAATTATAAATGATCATCTAAATTTTAGAGTTGTCACTTTGTTATATTGAATAATCATCCTATTAAGTGAGCTCCAGCCTTGATAGAAATAGTAATGTCTGGGGAATTATATTGGCCAAATTGTATTGTTATCTTATGTGCATATATGAATACCTAACAACAAATTTCACCATCATGTTCAACTGTAATGCACTAATTAAAATGTGAGGAAAAAGAAATAGTAATGCTAACTTACATACATCTCTTCAAACAAAAATGAAGGTATTTCTTTTTTACTAGTACTATAAATAGGAAAAAAAATTATCCAGCCAGGTGCAGTAGCCTATAATCCAAGTAGCTCCGGAGGCTGGAGCAGGAGGATTGCGAGTTCAAAGCCAGCCTCAGCAACTTAACCAGGTACTTAGCAACTCAGCAAAGACCCTGTCTCTAAATAAAATATTAAAAAGGGCTGGGGATGTGGCTCAGTGGTTCAGTATCCCTGTGTTCAATCCTTAGTACCAAAAAAAGGAAAAAAAAATCCACTCAAATGTTTATAAACTAAAATACATTAGTCAATTCTATTATTTTATTTGGTTAGTTTAACATCTCAGGGATTCTATCAATGTAGAGAATTCTACTAGCAATATCAGATGAGGAAACTAAGGAAATAGAGTTGAATTCAAAATCTTTGATTTTGAACAGAGGCATGTGGAATTAAAACGCAAAACTACATAGACCACCAGGAATTGCACTGTAGACTGGCATTGAGGAGATTAATAATAGGGCTACTAGTGAGAGGAAAACAGGAAAGGAATTGGGCTGGGGAGCACACTGACTGGGAAGGAGCTGAGAAAAAGGCTAAAGTTAATTTACATGTGTATATTGGATACTCTCTTCCTCTATATTTTTGTCATCTTTCTTTACTCTTAACAACTAAATATTTCCTGGGTCCTATGGATTCTGACTCTACAGTATAGATTTTTGGATAGTGTGTAGTCACTGACAAAACAGGAAGTTGAAACTCTAAGCATTCACCTTGACATACTTACTTCAAGGTTAATGTAAAGTAGTTTGCATAAAGTAAGATGTCCTTGCCAAAAATCTTTAGGGCTGCTTTGCTTATATATCACATTATCATTCTTCATAGCAACCACATATGCCTGGTCTACAGAACTTGGATTTCAGAGGGAGTCATTTTTGTGAGCTTCAGTAGTTTCAGAGAGAGAAGAACTTACGAGAGAATGGTAGGAAATAGAGCATAGAGGGAAAGCATTAAACCTGAAAGAATTCCAAGAACAAACTGCAAAATGGGTACAGAGAAATGAATAGCCATGTTTGGCAGAAGCTGTGTAGAGTGGACAAACAGAAGAAAAACGTACAGGGCAGGTGAGAACCTGCGAGTGACAGTCACTAAAGCCCAGGCAAGGCATTTACACTACATCCCATAGAACCCTGGGGAGCTGCTGCAGGCTTGAGCATGAGTGAGACAAGAGCAAGAGTAGTTAAGAAGTGACAAATGGTAAGAACTAGACAGGAAAGGCACAGAAAACCAGAGGCCGGAGGCTTTACTAATCATTCCAGGTGAGGTCAGAGGGTGATAGTGGGAGGGAAAGGAAAAAATTTAACCTAAGGGGCAGTGTGAAACATACTTAAAGCTAGTTTTGTCCTCAATTAAAACCTAGAGAATGGCCACTTGCAGTCATTGCTAAAGAACTGCTTATGAGATGCTAAGAATTCTTAACATTGATTGGGAGGTAAACTGCCATTATTATGATCAAATACATAAGAGGGCATGAAATTCTAATGGCTCATAAAATCACTTTTAAAGGAAGCTTTCATTAAGCTTAACAGAGACTTAGAAAAAAATAGATGTTTGATTTAAGTAAAAATAATTTTTAAGAAGACCATGATTGGTTGCAAGGTGATGAGTATTTTTAAATTTCTAAAATAATTACTGCTGATTTTAGCAAGGCCGTAATAATGACTTAAATGATTGACAGATCTATTTTGTCTACTTTTGCAAATATATTTATATATCTCTTTTTGCAGATCTATTTTTCTACTTTTGAAAATCACTATTGCCAACCTATTATTAATCAAAAGTTCACTATTTTGCAAATGCACCTATGAGTAAAACTGTGAAACACAGACAACACAATTTAAAGCACCCACTTCTCAGTGTATGTGCCAACTTACTTTCTATTTTAATTTATGGGATACATTGTTGTTGAGCACCTACTATATGATGAGTATTTTGCTGATGTTAGATGTACAATGAAAAGTAAAATAGAAAAACAAACATAGCCTGAACATAAATGAGCTCACAAAGTAATGGAAAAGGCAGATATTGAATACTTTTTAAAAAATCATCCAAATATGTAATTCAAAACTGTGATAAGAGCATGAAGGAAAATTATAGGGTGTTATAAAATCTTATAATAGGGAGTCAAAACCAAGTCTGAGTCTGAGAAGGTGTTTTTAAGGAAACTGTCTTTGAACTGAAATCTGGATATGGAAGAGTAAAATAGGGAAAGGAGTAGGTAAGAGAGCAAGATGAAAAGATGAGCATAGGGAAATAATTACATACAATAAAATGAAAATATTCTCTAACCTGTTGAGTAATAGTGTCCCATGGTCCCTGTAGCAGCCTCGTCTGATAGCACTCGTGGACTCCTTCCCATATGTCCTTCAGGGCTAACGGTCTCCCATCTGTGAAGGTGAATGGCAAGACTGTTAGTGATTCATGTGACACAGTGGTGCTTGGTGCTGATCTAAAAGTACTAGAAGTGTACCAACACTTTTAAAAAATATATTTACTAGGTTATACCTTACTTGCATATCAAAAACATCCTGTATGAATTATTATTTTCTTCCTGAGAAACATTTTAACATTCAAACTTTTCTCCTTTGTATCAGCCTAGCAGTTAAATTTTCTGCCCACTCTTGCCTCCAGGAATTTTATGAAATAAACAAAAGCCAAATGTGTTTTAGAGAGAAATGATAGATAGGAAGCATAGGCAATGGACCAGGTATACAGGCTCCCATATTCACAAGGGCTCACTAAGAAATATGTCAAACCTTGATACTTCCTCTGTTCCTTAAAACAAAGACACAGTACTCATGTCTCTTTAATTTCACTCTCCTGTTGATTATGTGCAATGTCCATGTCACTCAGCTGGATATCATGGAGAACAGGGAGAAAGAAAACATATAATTTCTCCTAGTAAGGAGCCTACCATCTACCAGGGAAACTATAACAAACTATGAATAATTTAAAATACTAGGGAGAGAGAGATAGCTGTCAGAGGAAAAATTCAGTTCTCTGAGAGTCCAGAGAGGGAGACATTAGCACCCAGTGGCTGCACTAGGTGGAGATAGGGACTGTTGAGGATGGAGTGACATGAGAAGGGGTTGGCATGAAGAGATTGGTAAAAAGCATCAGTGAACAATAATCCTCCTTTTAATTCTTTAGGCAGTTTTACTTAACCATCCATATTCAGTAACAACCCAAATAATATATTTTGTGAAGATCACTATGGCACTTATATTATATGAAAGATGAGAAAAGAGGAGGAATAGATACTGTTATGGTTTAGATATTTGGTGTTTCCCAAAAGCTCATGTGTGAGACAATGCAAGAAGGTCTAGAGGAGGTTGAGAGCCTTAATCCAATCAGCGAATTAATACCCTGATAGGGATTAACTGAGTGGAAACTGAAGACAGGTAGGGTGTGGCTGGTGATTGGGTTAATGGGAGAATGTCTTGGGTATGTATTTTGTATCTGGTGAGTGGGGTGTCTATCTCTGCTGCCTGATCATCATGTGAGCTGCTTCCCTCAGCCACACTCTTCTGCTATGATGTTCAGCCTCACCTTGAGCCCCAAGGAATGGAACAGCTGCCTATGGACGGAGACCTCTGAAACCATGAACCCCCAAATGAACTTTTCCTCCTCTAAAATTATTCTTGTCAGGTCTCTTAGTCACAGCAGTGAAAATGCTGACTACAATACATACTTAAGTTCAAAAAGGCAGAAAGAGGGAGTTATGTAGGGACTTTCAAAACACATACTCCTGGAAAGAAGGAATCTAAATGCTAGAACTTAGTACTTCTTGGCCCTTCAGAGCTATCAAGTCCTCAAGGCTTGTGGAAGTGTGCATTATTACTTAAAGAGGATACCTTATATACTGAATTATTAGAAGTGCTTGGTCATCAAGTGCAACAAAACTCAGTGAAATAATCTACCCTAAATCTTCAAAAAACTAAAAAGCATCATGGTATTCAGATTTACAAAGTATAAGTAAAAAGGAAGGGTGTTGGAGAAATTTGCTACATTTGGAGTTCAGGCTGTTTAAACACTCATGTTTGTAATTACTCTCTGTGAGACTGTAAGTTATTTTGTTTTTAACTTTACCTGTAAAATGAAGATAATAATTCTTTTCAAATTTTATTCTCATGAGGCTTACATTAGTGAATATACCAAGGACTATGTTGGATGTACAATGAGAATTCAAAAATATTAGGTAACTCCTTCTAGCCCCAACTCCACTGTGCCAGCAATTCTCAAAGCGAAAAGATTAATTTCTGGACTGTTATTTCTTAGAATGTTCCAAAGTTTCTACACTATGCACATTGTCTTTGATATAGTAATATACTAATAGCATAAGTAGGGCATTTCTCATGTTTGACCTGAAAAGTTGAACTTTTCCTCAACCTTTATTTTCAATAAATAGCAATAGAATATTTTGATACATTTTCAATAAGTATCTTCATCTTGGCATTTATCTGGCGGCAGGAGACCATTATCTTGTGATAAATAGTTTTATTCCATTGACATTTCCATGTCTGTAAAATGAACGAGATTTATTCATCCAATTAACATTTGAATGTCATGTTTAGCTACAAGTTAAAAACAAGCTGCCTTCAGTATCTGTGTTATATTGTTTTCTGAACACATTTACAGAGTAGGGCCAAACTCTGCTCTTAAGATAAGCAGTGCACATCTTCAAAATATGCACACATGTGCAAGCTTTTGTGTGGTGTGTGTGTGTGTGTGTGTGTGTGATGTGTGTTGATGTTGAAAATACAATCTGAGATACTTCAGAGTCAAACAGCAAACTAAATAATCAAATTACAAAAAGATGACATGATTTTAAAATAATTTTTACAATGTCAAAGAGGAACTCAAGTAGTGGGATAATAAAAGGTCAGAGCTGGTATAACTACTAATTTTATAAACAAGGCAACCAAGGTCTTGGGAAACACAAATCTGTAGAATTAAGCAGTCAGTTCATGACTGAGCCAAAGTCAGCATCCGGGTTTCAGGACTCACAACCTAGTGCTCTTCCCGCTATTCCATGCTGCCTCCAAGGGCAGAGATACTGCATACTCTTTATAAATACTGAAAAGTAACAAATAAAAGAATGCCTTTCTTAATGTTTTTTCCTCTAAGAAAAAGCCTTGTAGACCTAGAGAAGAATGTTTGGTTTAATATCTGGTAATCAGTAATGATTTTAATTTTATTCCTTAAAATATTTCAGCCAATATTTGAAGTACATGGTTTGGAAGTACCACTGTCAAAACCCTGCATACTCTGATGGAAACATTCATACAAAATGCAGTAATAAGTGCAGAAACCCAGAACAAATGTTATGGAATTTTTACCAGATTTGATACTAGAATTGAGAGTATGTACCATAAATTTCCAGACAACACCAAATCTAGAGGGTAAGAAAATGAATTCCTTAGAATACAGGAATTAACCGCTCTAGTCAACCTAGAGTAACAGTCACAAAAATTAAAAATAAATTTAAAACGTAAAAACTGAATGTTTTACTTACATCACAAAAAAATACATATTATTAAAATGATTTAGAATTTCTATGGTTTTAACTTTTCTGGTTTTTTAAAAGCCAATACCACATTAATAATTATTTAGACTCTTTCTATATCATTTGATAAAAACAGAATGACTAATATAAATGTATTTCTCCTGTCCTTGATTTTAACTTAATTTCAAAAGTTATGGTATGGAGGCTGGGGATAGCCCTGAGTCGTACAGTATGTGTGTAGCATGCACAAGACCCTGAAATTAATCCCCATCATTCCCAAAAATTGTATTAAAAATGTTTTTATTAATGAAAAAAATCACCACAACCCTCCCTCCCTTGCCACATATACACACACTGACACCTGATCATGCCTTTTCTCTGTTCTGCACACAATGCTACTAAATCAGAAAACTGTGAGTTACTCTACATTCCTCTTTCTCAATCTCATGTCTCATAATGAAAAATAGGGTCTATTACTACTTATAAATTTCTCTGGATCTGTGCTCTCCATTCCATTCCCACTGCACCAGAATTCTAGTTCAAGACTCCAACAATTGCCTTTGTCATCTCCTACAGTCTCCAGAGCTTGGTTCCTGCCCTTGTTGGTTTCAAACATAAATATTATAAATATCCTGCTCTGGTAAACACCATTCCTTAGTTTTACCTTTCTAATGGTATAAACTCCAAGCAACACCATGGCCCCTGTTGCTGTCTCTGCCGTTCTTCACTATGAATCAGTCCTTATGCAAAGTGGAGATTCCATCCCACCTCTCACTCACACAAACCAGTCAATCCTTCACCCTGTTGCTTTTCTCACTGCAAGTATCACTCTCTGAAATCATCTTACTTGTTTATATCTTTTCCTGCCTTTCCCAAGTAGCATGCAAGTTCTATGAAGTCAGATCTTGATTATTCTAGTTCCTGCATATATCCACCACCTGAATCAGGGTTTGGCACAGAATAAGTGGTCAATAAAGATTGACTAAATTGATTAAATCAGTGGTGTTGGTGCAGGTTTATATACATCTTCATATTCAGTATTGTAACATAAACATTTCCCACACTGGATAAAAGTAATAATTATGATTTTACAGGTTATGTGATATTGTACTATAACTATACACTGCAATTTACTTAAGTATTCCTCTGATGTTGGTTACTTGAGTTATTACCAGTTTTGAAATGGTACCTGGCACAAAGGAGTCATGAACTAAGCCAAAGCAATTTTTCTTCTTTTCAATTATTTTCTTTTGATAAATTCAGTAGAAGGGAATTACTAAGTCAAAGTGAAAAATAACTTTTAATTCAAGATAGAAGAACTAGTATCTTGCCACATCAAGATTCTCCCTCATGTAATGAGATAAGGAGTTAATTTTAGAAACAGATATTTATATAATTTGGCACCTAATATATGCCAAGCATTTATTCTAAGCCTTTGTGATACATCAGGAAGCAAAACAATGTTTTTTTGTGCATTCTTGTGGTGGGCAGAGGGGGGTAATGGTGTGATGATAAACAATGAATATAAGTGAGTGAATTGCAAAGCATGTTAAAAAGTGTGGTGTGGACTATGGTAAAAAAGAAAAAAGAGAGTAGACCAAGGAGTGCTGGCCAGGGGTGGGTTTGTGATTTTAGATCACCTGTGAGCAAACACTGGGAGGCATTAGCTCTGAAGATCCCTGAATAAAAGAGGGAAGAGGGAAGAGAGGAGAGTGAACCAGTAGCAAGGCTACCACAGGATAGACTCAGGGAATCCCTTTCAGGGCATTAAAGACATCTTTTTTTTTTTTTTTTTTTTTTTTTTAAGAAAAGACTATATGTAATTCACATATGTACAATTCACCAATTTAGAATGCACAGCTCAATGGTAAGTCTCAGAGT